CTGTAAAAATGTGACTTTTCATGGAAAACCCTGCGACTGATTAAAGAGGTGTCCTGGGCCTTCTTGGGTACAAAAACTGATCTATAAAAGATAAGCTACCATCTTTGAAGAATATTTAGAATCCAAGTTTTAAAAACCCTTCTGTAGAAACAAGATTCTTTATGTCAGGGTAGGTTTATTTTGGAAGGCAATTGTTCTGGATGGTTTTTGCCAAGCAAGCATGACAAAAGTGTTAAATAGCTTATATGTCATTTCACTGTGAACAAAATGAATCTTATAGAATTATTATTGTTTCAATTAAATGCAAGAAAATACCACATGAAACTAAATTACCAAGAAAATCAATTACCAATAAACTGACAGCATATTTGTATTATAATTCGTCCTTTAAATAATCAAATGTTCTTCCATAAGCTTTAGCTTATTTCCCCAAAAGGGTTGACATGGCATTTTGTCTTGTATTTGAAAGCTATCTTTTGCTGTTAATTTGCATTAAACAAACAACCAAAAGACAAGAAAATCAAAGGAAATACCCCTATATGGTCCTCCCACACATCTTGAGCTGTGTGAGCAAGCAGTTAAAACATGCAAATCCAGTTTGGAGGAAATTCGACATCTCTATTATAGATGAAAGGTAAACAAAGCAGATGAAGGATTAGTGCAATTCCAAATTTAAGATATTGCTCTCAGTGACTTATAATAAAGTGGTGTTGCATACGGTGGCATGTTTTAGATGACATTTCAATTGTACGAGCAATTTGCATTCTATCTGACATTAAATAACGTTCTTAGTATTATGAATTCCAGCAGCATCCTCATCTCCACAGCATAAAGATATGAACTATGAGGCACATCTTAATGAAGGGAGTAAGTTTTCCTGTCAATCTGAAATCTGAGACAAGGCAGTACCTGGGCTAAAACGCCAGCAACATTATTGTGAGTTGCCCACTCCTGGCATAGTACAAATCTTCAGCTAAGGCATTCTTCTTATTAAATAAAGATCTATAACTGAACACATGTATCTGTAATATCACTACAATCCAAAGAAAATTAAAAGACAGATTATGTCCAGGATATTACATGCACCACCACAGAGCACTGCTAGAATCTGGTATGGTCTTGTTGCTAAGATACCTGGCTAATGCCACGGAAACGAGCCCCTCTTACTAATCTAGTACAATCCATGCATGCTTCCACATATTTTGGCAGGAGAAAGTAGGAGTCCACTGACAATGGTTTGGGATATTACTAGCCAGTGTTCCTGAATTTATACATTTTTTATCTCTTTCTGGTAAGCTTCAACAATCTTAGTGAAATAAGAAATGTAACACTCAGTTAATGGCATTTGGTTGCTTTATGCCATTTAAAACAAGTAAGATTACTTTTTATCCTTCTGCATAGTCAATAAAAGTTGCTTAAAAAGGTAATTATTTAAGTGCCTTTGGTTGCAAAATTGTGGTGCTCCCCAAAATGATTCCCCTTAATCTTTGCGATTTATATTGTTATATGCACATAAATGACATTTTCTCTCTTCATTGCTTTCTTCAAGGAGAATGCAATACACCAGTTTCCCTGGGTGCATACTGCATAAGAAATCAGGACACTAAAATGAAATACTTTTATCAGAAATTACTTACAAACCTATGATGCATAAAACTGGTTTGCAATGTTAATGTTTCCAAAGATTTTTGTTTTATTCATTTAAGAAAAAAAAATTATGAAAAGAGAGAAGATTAAAGACTATCTCATGCATAACAATAATATATAAAATTCCAAAATGAAAAATAAATACTTTGAGGCTTCCCCTGTACAAAATGCAAATATGCTTTCTACCTCCTGGTTTTTTTGTTTGTTTGTTTGCTTGTTTGTTTTCCCAAAACAGTCTGTCTTTGTTAAAGCAAACTAAATGAAGATTTCTAATGAAAAATCAAACATATTTTTTATGTGTGTCCCTACTCTGTAGTGCCAATATGATCCTTAGAGCATCAGTGACAGTAGTTCCTCTGAGCTCAAATTATAACAACAATAACTTTTGCAGATGTTCCTAGCTGTCAAATATTATTCACTAAAATGGCAGAAAATGTGATAAAAAGTTAAACCTGAAAAATTATTCTAAAGTAATTGGTTCAAGTCAAGAAGGCAAGGGAAGGTCAACCATTAATCCCTATCCATAAACAGTGAATGAACTATAGAGAAATCACAGCCATATTGATTTTTTAAGAGGAAACAATTGTGTGCTGGTGTAGGTAGACACACAGTAAAGTGGACAGTGTGCAAATATACAGCTTTATATTTCAAAGGTACTCATTGATTTAAACCAAAGTTTTTCTTCAGATTTGCTGGATTTTTGACTCAAATTTGCTTTCTTATCAACAGAGACAGCCATCTTTGACAACAGTAAATTATAACCTGAATAAGTCAAGTTTGCATTATTCACACTCTTTCCTGCTTTCCAGTTCATGGGTTCCCAAGGTCATAGTAGAGGGTCATTTTGCCAGAAACCATGGGGAGTTCATGGGTTTAGAATTGCATTCTCAATGTTATATCAATAGTGCATCATTATATTGTGCTTTTATTAGTGCTAAAAACAAATATCACAATTATCCATATGTACCAGAGAGAGCTAGAAAAGTTATACACATGTTTACTGTTTGATTCATACGCTTTCAATATTTTGAGCCCCTCCGGACATTGTTGCAACAAAAATTATTTCTAAATTACTGCCTAGGAGCAATATACAAGGGTAACTGTATTATAAAACAGGAGATTGTTCATGACAAAGAAGAAATAAATCAATAACAGGTGCAAGTATCTCAGAAACTGTTACTTCGACACAAATTGTCCCTGTAAGAAGGACAGAAAAATGTTTTTACAAACCTTTTACTTTTTTCAATTCTCACTGGAATCCCATGTCAGAAGAGAAAATGGCTGTTTGCTTAGAATAAAGTGTCTTAGCTATCTACGTGGGCCCGACAGTAATGGCAAAGGAGGGTGCCGATCAATATCCATCTTCTTCATTCCTGAAGTAATAACTTTCAATAGGAAAATCTATTTACTTTTACTTACCTTTATTTTATTTCATTTTGCTTTAAAGAAGTTCATTCCAGAGGGAGGGTTTACCTTGCAAACAGCAGTTAACAAACTGATGATTTAACTAAGGGCGCTGGGCCAGCAGGGGTGTTACCATTTGCTGTACCTGTGTGTTAATGCTAAGAAGAGACATTTTTTTTTCCTCTGGATTATAAATTTGTTATTCAAATAACAGCCACTAAAAGACTTACAAGGCCTATGGCTGCTTCATATGAAAGGTATATCAACAAGGTCAATCACAAATAAGGGTCAACATTTATATTCTTATATAGAGGGTTTCTGGAATCTTTTACATTTCATTTGCTGAAGGCACTTTATGGGGGTTTTTTTGGTAAAAATCACTGGGTAAGGATTTAAAAAGGAAACCCCCCAACTCTTTCTTGGAAAGGCCCATAGTTTCACAGAATATATGAAAACTACAGTTAGGAAAGGCCACATGTTCTCTGCCCAGGTATATAATATAGGAGGACCTTTCACCCCAAATTATCATAACAAGCATTATTTTAAATTGCATTTCAAAATGAAGCACTTGACCAATATGCTTATAAGCACTAAAATAAAACCATTTCCAATTTTTGCAACATTTTCTCCTCTCTATTACTTCTTCTATTGACACATTATCCCTGTTACTATTTTATAATCATGATAGATTTTTTTTATTTCTATTGAGCTAGAATCAGTTTAAACAGTCTCAGCTTCTTGTTTCCTACACACACTTGTTTTGAAGACTGTCTTTTTCAAATATCAGATGTTTAATAACATTCAATGACAGTTCTTATCAGTGAATGCATCCAGTTGTTTCTCTTACTTTTATTTTTGAAACTATAATTAGAAACCACAACATTTATTATACATAAAATTATTATAATTCTTAAAATTGCCATCATAAAAATATTTTTATCAGCATTTAGTCTACAATTTTTTAAATTTCCCTGCATCCGAAAGAAATTTTAAAATTTCACATACACAGTGTTTACATGCATACTGATTCAGACTATGAATATTAGAGGACCTTTTAATAATAGAGAGGTTGCTCAAAAACATTGATATTAATATCAATACTTAAAGTTTTAAAATAACAAGAATAAACTAAGTAGCAATCAGAGGTTACTAATTCTCATTGTGAATTTTTAAGTTAATAATTGGTAATTAATTTTAAATCAAAAGGAGTGATAAAAAAAACCCATTTCTGAATTCTAGATTCACACATAAATCTCAGAACACTCACTGTGTATATTTGTTACTAAGAAAGGAGATCATTGGTATTAAACCCCTGCTTAAATTAACTGTAAGATGGGAAATAAATTAGAGGCAGTACTCTCCTTAGAATTTGTATGAAAACATATATTAACATAGATGTAAGATAACAAGAGAATTAATTGAAAATAAAGTAAAATATACAGAATGATGAGGATAAATTACATTTTACTCCTACGAATATCCAAGCATTTGTTAATATGAAGATACCAGCAAAGCACGTCTGCGGTAGTTGTGTGGTATTTGCACCAGACATAGAGAATCACGTTTCACATGAAGGTGATCAACAGCCTTTCTTTGGCAAACTTCTCTGCATGCATTTTCGTGTATGTTCATGTGCACCAGGGAAAATAATACACGAGAAAGCTTTGTATATTGTTAAAACACAAAAGACAGATACTCCCAATAAATCTAAAGAAAAGCCATTGACAATTTTATAAAAAAAAAAAAAAGTAGTTCCACTTGTTAAAAGGCACCAGGGGATTAGAAAAAATATTCAAGGTCTTAAAGGTTTTAGAAAGCTTTTTGTTGTTGTTGTTGATCTCACTGATAGTCATTTTTATTCATTGGTTTCTACCTGCAACATATTTTGTTGTAGAATTCTGTCCATTCTTTTGTGTTCTATATATTGCTATGAAACTATATATGCTATATTCCTTAAAAGTGGAATTTATTTAAGGAAAATCACCATAGGCATTTTAAAAAGTCATTCTATAGGATTAATCCTGCTACAAGAAAGAATAGGTATTATTAACATACAGATGTGCATTAGGGAACATCATAAAACCTAAGGCAAAATGTTTAAATCTTAAATTTAGAGCAAGTAAATAGTGTTAATTATTCCTCAAACTACACTCATTTCAATATTCCAGTTAAAATTGTCCTTGTGTCACCAATAATATCCAATACCTGTTCCTCGAATAAGTGAAAAACAGAAACCAACTTATACTTCGCAGTGATATATTCATTCAGCTTTTAGACCTAAAACTGTCAAATATATTCCTCTCTCCTGCTTACTTGGTGGTGTAAATTCAAAACCCTTATAATCTTGAATGCTTTCCTGATTACATGATTAAGAAGAAAAAAACCACTTCAGTTAGATTATGCTAAATGCATTGCACTTGTGAGTTAATTTTCATATCTTCCTGGGAAGATCTGCAGACAACCAGATATGAAAAGTGTACTAGACTGAGACATGAAAGGGGAGAGCAAATGGCTCGCATGACCACTATGTCTGCACACATTCTACAAAGGGCAAATCCTGAAATTTTTACATTTTATTTGAATAAATGACATTAAAAATGTTCTCAGTGGGAGCTGTTATTTAGAAAAACTTTAGGTTGTTTTTTTTTAATGACATTAAACAAAGCAATCTATCTTTAAAAATATCCATTGAGGGGCTAGGGTTGTGGCTTAGCAGTAGAGTGCTTGCCTAGCACGTGCAAGGCCCTGGGTTCCATCCTTAGCCCCACGTATAAATAAATAAAATAAAGGTATTGTATCCAACTACAACGAAAAAATAAATAAATATTTTTAAAAATATATCCATTGAATGGAACTATGATTGCTTAGGATGAGGGATGGGGAAAACAGATGTTGGTCAGGAGATATTAATAAAATTTCTAAATAACCACTGAAAATAAATACTTAAGAGCATCAAGCAAACTGAACTGTATCATTCATAACTTTATCAGTTATGGAACCTATAGAAGGAGCTCAATAAATATTTTTCTGATATATTTGTTTCTTATAAATCTGTCTGAGTGCATTTGTGTATATGTGTGTGGCTCCCAATTATACAATGAGCTAGAGAGAGAGTATAATTACAGACACAACTTACGCTCTGTTACTCCACTGGGTCACTTCTTAATTTCTTTCCCAATTCTTTATTTCCCTGAGGTTTAAAAGAATGACTATTTGCATGGTCTATGACCATCGTGTAGATCCTAACAAAGGACACAGCCATAATTAGGCATTCCAGGCCATGATCTTAGGATCAAAACCACACAATTGTAATAACTGGAACACAAGGCAACTTGACTTGCTCAGATTTCACCATAGTTGAATTACTTGTTTTCATTTTAAACTGGAGAGATTTGCCTCATCTCTGTTTTGGAAGCTTCTCAGGTTTTATACCTGACTTCCTTTCAATCTGGACCCCAAGTGAACAAGATTGGTTTATATGTAGTCTCTTAAATTTTTCAATAGTTGATTACAGCTTTGGGAACGAAATAGACTTACAACAACAGAGTTGTTAATCTATATGAAGTCAACGCACACGTGCCTCTTTTGTATTTTACGTGACTTAGCAGTAGTAGAGGCCGAAACATCATAGGCATTGATGTTGATCTAAATCACAACTATCATTTAACACATGTGCTTGACTTAGACTTTTATAAAAAAATAAAAATAAAAAAATAAAAAAGACTGCCTGTGTGTAGGCAATGAATTTCTGAATTTTTAAAATTCACTTTTATCAATGACCTTTTATAATAAAAAATGCAAAATTCTATCTAATCCAAAGTTATAGAAAGATAGCATTTCAGAAATGTGAAACAGCCAGCGAATGATGGAGTGAACAGTACAAGAGTGGCTACATTAGTCTTCCCGTCTCACAGGCAGGAGCTCCAAAATGCTGTTGGACACAACGCTTTATTCGAAGAGGTTTCACACATGCATTTTTAATCAGGATTATATTTCACAGAGATCTGTCACCGCTCACAAGTGCAGCCGGCCGGTCCTCCTTGAAATGTATCAGCTCTCAGTCTCAGCCCTGAACTAGTTTTTCTTTGTACAAATCTGGACTTGGTGATCCACAGGACTGTGTTTTTCTTAGAAGGAAAAAAAAAATCCCTTAGAATTGTGTAGGACCCGCATGCCCATTGTTTTTAATTCAAACATACAACTGCTTTAACCTGGACTATCTTCAAAGTCACTCTCTCCGCCAAGTTAACAGTCTAAACGTTTGGCTTTAAGGTATTTGCTAAACTTAGAAGATCTAGTAAGTGATTATTTTAAATTCAGTCATTTACATAAATTTTTGTGTTGAATTGATCCTACTTTTTTCTTCTATTCTTGACCTTTTGCATTATTAATCTATTCTCTCCTATAATAATTATTAAGACCAAAAAAATATAGTGAAAAAAATGTTTATATGGGTATTTTTTCTTTAGTGTTCTCTAAATATTAGATATATAATATAAAACTATTATAAAACATGTTCTTACCTATAAGTTTAAAATACCCTAAAGAAATTCATAAATGCAGAGGAACAACTCAAATGTATGAATGTGCATATAAATATAACCCCAATACTGCTTAAATTAACAAAATGCATACATGAGCCAAGAGAGATTAATGATTAGTATTAGTCATTAATCATTGGTGTAATTAAGATTAGTAGCAGTTACTACTAGAAGATATATATATATATATATATATATATATATATACACACATATATATATATTGAAATTTTTCATTAAAAAATCTGTTTTAGAATGACTATATTTTAAAAGGTTTAGCTTATGTATAACAAAAAAATCAGTCTCAGATATTCAAATTAGTACAAAATCAGAGATTTTTAAAACTTAAGTTCGCATATAACATGTTTAATGTCTAATGAATGTTAAATCTCTATTAAAGCAACCCAGCATACATTATGCATCTAGCAATTAAAACTTGTCTCAAAAAAGACTTCAAAAATAGTATGTGGAGGAAGATTTTTCTGTTATAAAAATCTTTCAAATCAGTGAAAAGGCAAAAGAGTAAAACCAGTTTAATATCTATAGTTTGGGAACTACCATATAACAGCAGATGTCCAGAAAAATATCCCAACACTAATAGCAGATTTACATGAAGTAACTATATCTATATGTTGTCAAGCAACTGGTCATAAAAGCACTGAATAAAAGGGCATTTGAAATTGGATAGTTCTGAAAATACCACAGCTGATTTTTTATATTCTCTGACAGTTAAGAACAAAAAGACTTTCAGACAAAGATTTTAGACATTCCCTGTGATTTTGAACTTCCCCAAAGTTTATATGTAAGATTACCAAGTCTGGGACGCCAAAATAAAAGTCAATACTAAGGCACTCGGTTCTGGATTCTCAGTTGCTCCGTGTTCACTGCATTACTATATGTACCATCATCATCATAAACACTATACATTTTAACATCTGCCAAGGCCTTTAAAAAGCTGAGGCTTATGTCTGCAAAACTGGGAGGAAGAAAGGCCTAGAATATTATACTGTGTCTTTTCTAGAAATATTATACTTCCCATGTTAATGTTTCTTCCACTTTACCACTAGGAGAAGATTTTTGAAAATAAATTTCAAAATTCTGTTGCATCTGATTAGAGCACAAATACCAAAGACTCAAAATTTTCAAGAGCTTAAAAGATAAAATTGCCTTTCAAATCCATACTGTTGTCTAGTGTAAGGACATGGAAAAAAGGGGGTATTAAAGCAATCATACTTTTTTATCCATTGCTGTAGCATTTAGTTAACAAGGAATCCATGGGTTTAGAGTTGCTTAGCCAACAGTCTTGAACAGCACATTTATAGTCTCTAAATGGTCTCATGTTTCCAAAGTGAAATTTTAGAGGGTATTAGTTTAAAATATTTATCTCTGTTTAGGAAAATCTCTCCGGTGTAGTCTTTTAAAAAAATCATTTTATAAATTACTTTCCCTCAGCAAATATTAATGTTTAATGTATAAGTATAGAATAATAGTAGTAAAATAAAATCATTTAAAACATAACCTTAAAACAATCTAAAAGGATGTCTCTACATAAAACTGATCAATAATACATTATACTTTTCTGAAAAATATGGTTTATATCAACATAAATGATGACTTCACTGTTTATATTAAAAAGTACAAGCCTAATCTTCTTGGATTCTATTGAAGTTGAAGATATGTTAACTCTTGTATGTTTATATTATGTTTGTTGTTCTTTACGGTGGTGAGGATCAACTGTATGTTTATAATTGTGCTTGTTTTTGAATGTATAGGATGTTTTTTTTAAAATAGATAATGAGCATATTCAATTTGTTATACACAAAATTTCCTGGTATTATAAATACAGCAATACACTTAGAGTCAAAAATATTTATTTAAATAAAGATTCTTACAATTTGGTGCCCCAAGTCATTGATTCCTGTTCTGAAAATAGGAATCTTCTGTCTTCCTCCACCTACCTTACACCTCTGTCAGAGTGAAAGTGACAGTCACATTTCATGTTTCTGAGCCACACAGGTCCCATATATAACAAATTTCAATCTCAAAGAATGAGGAAAATGTCTCTATCATATCTCCCTATGTGTTTTCTGCTTATGACAAATGTCACCAGAAACTGTCTTATTTGTTTATTCAATTCTCTACCTCCTGTCTCCCTTGACTATACTGTAAGCTCCTCATGGGTGGTGACATCATCCTTCTCATCACGGTATTCATAGCACCCAGTTCAGGGCTTGGCACATCAAAGATGCTTCATTTTTTTTCTGGTCTAATTGTACAAAAACTGTGTTCCAATAAATATGTGGGAACATAATGTCCCTGCTGCCATCACCCAGCAATGTGGGAGTTCCACGTGCCAATCAATCTGTCACTAGTGGGTAACTTGACCATCTCATTCAGTAAACATGACCCAACTAAATATAAGCCTTTACGTTCAAAAGCTGTTTCCCATTTTCAAAGATCCTACTTGAACTAATGGCTCAACAGCAGGTAAATAGGGTTATGATTATTTTTATTTATGCAGGACATAAATGATTGTTGTTTTTAAAACCAAAGATCAAACCATTCATTGTGTCTCAGCTCTTTCTCACCTAGGTTACATACTTAGTTTCTACAAGTGTCCCTTACTCTCTCCCTTCATGACTTTTCTCCTCTATTGGATCATTTCCACATCAAACCTGCAATATCACCTATCTGGAAACAAACCCTCAACCCAGTCTGGTGCAGTGGTGCACACCCGTAATCCCAGCTACTCGAGAGGCTGAGGCTGGAAGATCCCAAATTCAAGACCAGCCTCAGCAACTTAGCAAGACTCTGTCTCAAAACAAAAAGCAACCTGGGCTGGGAATGTAGCTCAGTGGTAGAGCATTCCTGGGTTTGATTCCCAGTATTGGGAAAATAAATAACAAAAACCTTCAGGTAGGGAAGTAAGCTCAGTGCTAAAGCATTTGTGTAGTATATGCAAGGCTCTGGGTTCAACCCCTGGCACCACAAAAAAAAAAAAAAAAAACTATGATGATGATGAGATAAAATAGAAACCCTCTTTTGATCCATCACTGGGCTGCAACTACCACTTCTTTTCTTTGTTCTTCTACAGCAAACCAACTATAAAGGGCCATCTGTTCATTCTCTCTACTTCCCACCTCCCGTTCCCCTTTGTACCAACTTTAATCAAGATTTCAACATTTCCACTCCACTGGAACCTCTTCATAGAAGTTACAAATGATACCCCCTTTTGCCAAATTCAATAGTATCTAGTTTTCCATCTTCATCTAACATATCTCCTTACCAGCGTTTAAGGACCAATCACTTTCATCATTTCTTTTTTTGTTTGTTTTTTGGAACTGGGGGTTGAACTCAGGGGTGCTTAATCACTGAGCTACATCCCCAGCCCTATTTTGTATTTTATTTATTTAGAGTCCCACTGTGTTGCTTAGCACCTTGCTTTAACTGAGGCTGGCTTTGAACTCAAGATCCTCCTGCCTCAGCTTCCCAAGCTACTGGGATTACAGGCGTGCAGTGCTGTGCTTGGCTCACTTTTATCATTTCTGAAACATTTTCTCTCTTTAGCTTCTCCCTGCATCATTGAATGAACCTTCTCAACCTCCATTGATCAGAAAGTAGATCATCAACTGCTCTCTCATTCTCTAGCTGCTGGAGTAAGCCAAACTCGGTTTTTTGACCCACTTCCTAGGTGGTCAACTGAAATCAGTTGGCTTAAATGCCAGCTATGATTGTTGTTTTTAAAACCAAAGATCAAACTTCTGAATTCACTTCTCATTTTCTACCTATTCTCTGAACTCATACCTCAAGTAGAATGTCTACAAGAAATCTAAAACCTAATATAGCAAAAGATGACCTTTCGATTTCTCCCCCCAAATCTGTTCTTTCTACTCTCTCTTGAATCACAGTAAATGATATCAAGTTCCCCCAATTACCCTAGAAGACAAATAAACCAGTCAAGGAATAATCTTTGACTCATTTGTTTTGTTTCATAGCTTGCATCTACCAAAAAACAAATCAATCAAGGAATAATCCTTGATTCTTTTGTGCATAGCTTGCATTAGCAAATTCTCAACTTCAACTTCTAATTATAACTAGAATCCAATCATGTCTCATCATATTCTCTGTCTCCTTAGCGAAGGTATGTTTCAGCTCTTCCTTGAAGCATTATTATAGTTCCCTAAATTGTCCTCTGGTTCCCATTCTTGTCTTCCTATGGTCCATCCATTTTTAAACCCAAAATAACTTATATCCCTTGCTAACCAGAGCCTTCCAATGGCTTTCCATCACACAGAATAAAATTAAAAGGCCTGTGGGTTCTACATCATTTGCCCCCACCCACCCAACAATTTTCCTAAAACTTTCCCCACATTTCCTCAGTCTTCTGCTCCTTCCCAAATCTGCTGATCACACTCTTCTTTCAAGGTCTTCAAGTTCATTCTCTCCTCTGCATGGAACATTCTTTACCAGGTATTCCTGTGGTATGCTCCTCTATTCATTCAGGCTCAGTTTCCAAGCTATGAACTGCTTATTTTCTAACCTAGAATGTAAACTCCACCAGGGCAGAGTTTTTCCTCCTTTTCACT